TACGGCCGGGAATTAATTCTTCTTTCGTGCGCCGGCACCGAACTTTCATCGACCTTTCGTGCTCGGGTAACATCGAAAACCTCCCCGCGGCTGCTCAATTAAACGTATTAGATTCTGCGTGTCGTGCCACGTGCTTTTCAACCCGTAACCAAACTGCGCGCAACCACGGCCGCTGGTATCTTCTTTATGGGAACGCGATAACCCTTTCTTCAAAATGAAACCTTCATGGACAGGGAAATTATACTTCGGTGAAAGCTTTGAGATGATCAGGTTCGCCTGATAAGATTGCACGCTCATTTTCTGTCCCTTTTAGTTAACGCGTGAATGGAAGTCGATCCGTATACATAAAACGGTAAATTTCTGAATTCACCGTTAAATTACAAGTCCGATTGCTTCTATAGTCGAGTAACGACGCGTTTAACGTCCAGTCTCGTTTCCTCGAATCGAGCCACCGCGCATTCGGCGGGCCGTTTAGAGCCAGTAAAATAATAACGACTAGGCCGTAGCTCGCCTAAGTCACCACCCCCGGCCTATACCTCACCTTTTACTGCTGAAAATTACGGCTCAGGGACCCTCGACGCGCGTTTATGACCACCGATGACGCGACATCGCCGCTCCCGGACGATTCGAAGCCCACCGCCCGAATCATTCTCAGTCTTAGTAAGTATTATTCCGTGTTCCCCTGCGAGGGGAATAAAAGTCTTTTATAGTTAATAAGAGGAACGAGAAGAGTGATCGGAAATCACTCTCTACATATAAGAACGATGTGAGCAAAACAAAGAAATAGAATTTATATTAGTTCACGTTTAGTGATTGGAAATTTTCTCCGATTGATTAATCAAACATTAAATGAACATTCGTAAATAAATTTCCTTGCGGCGAGTGTAAACTCGTTCCCTCGTTCACTGATTGGAAATCTTTTTTATTAATTAAAGAGCGTTAGCGATTGAACAAATACGTATTCGTGGGGTATAAAGGAATCTTGTTGTGTCGGTTGTAAACGTAATGTTAACGGCGTGAAACGGAATATATGAACGGATGAATCACGATCGTAAAAGAAGGGCGCAGGAATCCAGCGATTAAAGCGGTCGCTTCCGCGAAATTGAAGTTCCATTTTCCCCGGCGGTGTACGGGCGGCGATATGGAAAAGCAGATGTAGACGGTCGAACGCGTAATATTGTCCCGCGGGCATTCCCGGACGAAAGAAAGGCGCAGCCCTTCGAACGTAGCCGTTCGAGAGGAGAAAAAGTAAGTTGACGCCGTTCCTATTCCGATCGTCGCCACCTTTTAATACGGGATAATTGGAAAAGTTTCCCACCAGACTCGCCTAGAAAAAAAAAGGGGTGAGTCCTTCGGAATGCGTGTTTGAGTTATCGCGGAGTTCCTCCACTTGATTTTTCTCCGTCGAGACCCTGTCTTCTTCCCGTACGTATTTTCTTACCGTTCGTGTTCTGGCCGTGAACTCGCAAGATTTCCCGTGTGTTTTCGCCCACACGCGTAACCCCGGGACACACAGGCTTTAATCTACGCGATGTTACGTGAGGCGCTTGCGGTCGGACCCATCCTCCACCGTCGTCTTTACTTTTTCTCTGTCCCTCATGCATATGAGTCTCTTTTGAAGTTCGTCGCAAATCAATATTATTCCCTCCTGCGTTTCTCCGTGTTCCCAGAGTTTCGCGATTCCAGGTACGAATTCAAAATAACGTGAAATCGGTTTGATAAGTTGGCTAGTGTGAAAGTCGAGCTGGAGTTGGAAAATTTGTTCCTCCAACTGGCGGGAGCGCGTATACCCAGAAGGATCAAACGTGATCCTGGCTGGCCAGGACTACGCCGGCAGGACGCTATCTGCCAGTTTCAGAAGTTGTCCTCCGTTCCCGGCCCCGGGACGCAATTTTGTGGGGATAATTTAAAAATCGCCGGATTAACGGTAAGCCACCTCGTATATTGGGTTACCCTGGCCGGCGGCGATGTCAACCAGCCACCCGCGGACGCCCAGTTCTATATTAAACCCAGCGCAAGCGATAATAATGGCCAATAACGATCGTTTTATACCCGACGATTCGTTTGATCGCGATAAAATTCCGTCGTAAAAACCGCTGCCGCCGTTTTCCAGCGCGCGGCTAATTAGCCGAGCGATATGTATAAAATAAATTGGAATTTCCCCGTTCTCCTACCCTCCTCTACGCCCCCGTAATAGACCGAAACCGTACGCGAGACGATTAAAAAAATGTGTCCACGTTTCGCGTATCGTTAAACTTACATGCGACCGAGCGCGCATAAATATAATCCTATTTTGCGCCGAAATCCGGCCGCGCGCTTCCTCCCATCGAGCTGTGGAAAAAATTGAATTCCTCAAGTTTCCCGTCTGGAATTTTTTAATACGCGAATGTTTTTTCTTCCGAGGGACTTCAAAGCAGCTCGGCTCGAGAATTTCTCTTCGAGAGAGAATCTTTCATCACGCGCTTAATTGAGGCCACGGTCGCTCGCTCGCTCGCTCGCTCGCTCGCTCGGTAACGAATTTGATAAATGTAATATTTCTGATCGGCCGTTTATACCCTCGTAAACTAATTGTCGTTCCGCGGACGAATTTATCAGACGCGAGGGCCCTTCCCCGACAGACGTCCGCGAACATCGTTTAGCACTCACGCCCACGCGTTCTCCGCGCCGCGAATTTAATGCCAAGTATCCGTTGGCTAAAATCGCGTCACCGTTCGGATAAACAACGGAAGAAGGGACGTGGATGCGAGGGCGGAGGTCCTTTATTAATTCGAGGACGACGCGACAGGTTGATAGCGAGAATTCCAGGGTTAAAAGCTCGTCGCAGACATTTTTCTACGCTCGATTTGAACGAACCGTCTGCGTGGCTGCGTGAAGGATTCACGCGTGCCTCGCAACGAGACACGCGTCTCGTCGTCGCTCTACTCTTCCTCCACGTGGATTTTATTTATCGCCGCGCGCGACGAAGCCGAGCAAATTCGGCCGCTCGGGCCGAAAATAAATCGCGCTCGCGTCTTCGCTTTGCTCTATGGTATAACCCTACGGATTCTCCGGAGGCCTGGCGAACGGGTTAAAGGTCCGGCCACGGTTGAACGACTCGATTCCTGATGTATACTGCGCCCGGGTATATTCCTGGTTCGGGGCTGTTTGTCGCGCGCCAACTCGAGCGAGCTAGCGAGCTTTAATCAGCCCTCTGCCCTCTGGGCGCTCGTTTGCCGTTCGCGGAAATGTTAATGGCTGTTCTTGTTAAGTCCCCCTTGCATCGTATCGACAGTTAAACTTAATTTCAAATTTTCGCTATTTGCAAAATCTTACTGTTAATCAACGGAAATGCATTGTAAAATTCATTGCCATTTTTATTCATGACGAGAGGTCAGATGAAATTACTGAATTCGTGATTGACTCTCGAATAGTTTTAATCTATTATTACGTGTTACAATATTTGTTGCGTCGCTCGCTTCGTTTCGCACGTCTTCGGCCAACAATTAATTAAACGCCTCGGCGGCAACGTTTTGTCTAAGGCAACAGAGCAATACTATTGTAGAGTCGTGTTGGCAACGGTCCAAACTCCGTGTCCCTGTAGCCGGGCGTAACCGCGCCGTAGCGTGGAAACAGCACGCGAAACGAGTAGTTAAACAAGTCGAAGATTTAATCCTCGAAGATGAATCGACGAAGGTTAAGGAATTTCAACTACCGAGTGTAATCGCGTTCGTATGCAGCGTTTCTATTATTTCCTATTTAATCTCGGATGCATTAGTGCGAGTGCTTTCAGCGCGGTTGTCGTTTCGCGTTGCGTGGAGGAGTGGAAATGGAACGTCGAGGCAAATGTTGGAATCGCGATCGGAGTAGCTCGGCAGCGAAACGATCGATCGATCGGGTTCTCCTGAATCATGTCCGCTCGTCCCGCGCGAATATTTCACCGCGGGCCGGACGAAAGAGCGCTACTTTGCCCGGCGGGGGGTAATATACGTCGCCGAGGGCGGTAACTGTCCCCGTATATTATGTCCCGCGTGTCCACCGGGACACGCATTCCACCCGGCTGTATCCACCGGTAAACAATGTTCCGCGGGGGCCGGTGCCTAAACGATTCCTCGTGTCTGCAGTTATTTTGGCAATTAATCGCGCCGCGGAGACCCCGCGCCGTTGAAATATCGCGTTTCTTCGCCCAACAGTTTTTCATCCCCTTTTGCTTACGCTCTCGCCCTCCCCCCCCTTCGCGCTCCCCTCCGCGAGACGAAGGCTTTTAACGACCGACGCTCTCGCACTCGACCGTCACGTACCGCGAACTTTCGAGCTCCTCCTCCGCTCTTGCTTCCCGCCTCCTCTCTTCCTAAATCCTCCGAGAGTCGGCAATTTTTTAGCTGAATTTTTCACCTAACAATCCACTAACATCTTTAGCGATGCGAACTTTTTCTTTACGCCAAACTATGCGAAGTATCCGTAAATTCCGACTATAAAAAGTCTCGGGGCTTCTCATCGATTCTTTAGTAGCTCTTCTCTCCATCGGTTCATATTTCAAATTCCAATCAATTCCCGCGGTGGCCGATCGATCTTACTTCTCGTAACGACTCTCTCGAGCCCGTCTCCACCGATAAAACGATACTCGCGATAAACCTTTCGAAGCCAATTAGGGGCTAATTGATTTTAACTGTTAAATCTACGAGCCTCCCCTTGCAGCTCGGGATTTCGCGGTTAAGACGGCTGCCGGGAATCTCTGCCAACCAGCCAGCCAGCCAGCCAGTTGTTCTCCGATAAATTTACGATGACTGAACGCGGCTCCCTTTTTCTTTAACGCCTCGCTTTACTCTGTTCCGAGGCGTTAATGAGACCCGCTCGCGTCGCGTCATCTGTCTCTCACCTCACCGATATTTTCTCCCTTTTAGTTTCCCTGTAGATGCTTAAAACTTCCACATTCGTTTTCTCGTGTCAATGAGATACGTAAGAGATTAGTTAGATTAGAAGAACCACGTGACATAGAACGCTACTTTATTATTATAAGCATTCTGACAACTACGATTTTACTACGAGAAAATGATAGCAGGTCTTCAATGTTGAGTCAACATTTCACCCGGCGGTATTTTCCGATGGCCCCTGACTGGTGAAATAAATTCAATTTGCAATAAAGAGAAAACGAAAGACACTGCGTTGCGATACTCACCGCATCCTAAATACGGGACGCAGACCTGACCCTTGACGCAGTCTTTATCCTTCTTGCAAGCCTCGTGGGTTTCCCGTCTGCGTCTGCTGTCCGGAATCTGCAGCGCGATTACGTCCGATTCGTCCTGCCGTTTCGAGCGAAATTAATCGCGAATAAAATACGGAATAACGACGATTGTACTCGCGCAAACGTGGAATTTTATATCCGTATCTTCTATCTCGAAGTTAATACGACCCTGCAGTGATTTACTACAAAAGGGTCGGGAGGGGAAAGCTCCTTTACTCACCGATCCTCCACTGCGATCTCCTAAGCGGATCACGTGAACCTCCGGCTCGTCCTGAAGGACCAACGACGATTAGAACATGATCGCGATTTACCAGAAACGATTCGACCACGCGTTCGTTCGGTAGCGTTAGCTCGTACGCTCGTACCTTGTCGTCCTTGACGATGCAACGCGTCGCCGCGGCGACGTACACGACGAACAGCAATGCCAAGAGTAGTAGTCGGTTCATCCTTCGTCTTACAAATTCAGACAGTCGCGCCTCGAACGTCTTTTTATAAAAGAAACCGACACGTCGTAAAGACAGATCCCTTATCGTCGTTAACAGATCAATTAGTCCAGCAAATTGCGTGCGTTTCTCGTTTAAATAACGCTTCGTTGTTGGTTATTTTATTAGGGGACGAGTTCATAAAGTCCGTCGTAAACCAGTGTCGAGCGAACCGGTCGATATCGGTTAATTTTCGCCTAATGGCCCTTATCTAAATTGAAAAAAGAAGAACGACAATCGCCCTGTTTACGAGCCGTCAAACTGAATCTCCGTCCTGTCGTTACTGGTTTACAACGGTTTTATCTGAAAAACGAATAGTACTCGTTGCGACGAATTAATTACGTACGCCCGGCGTCGGATTCTCGTAATGGTTCCGTTATTGGAAACTCGGTCCATTGGAAACGGGCCACGGCTCCTCCGGTGAACATGTCCCGCGAGGTGAGTCGTTCGTTAGAAGAGGGAGAAAGATGGGTCGCGTTTGCATAGTCCCCGAGACGTCGAAGTTGCCGGACGACTCGAAACTAGCGTCGACGCTACGGACGGGGACACTCAACGTGACCGGAAGGTCCTTTGTTCGGTTGATTACCGAATACCCTGGAAACCGGTCATTAGCTTGGCAAATAGAGAAGTCTCTCGCGTCCAGCTCCAAGGTGTTCGCCTAGGAAATATCCTCGTTAACTGATTGAGCGTTAATTCGTTCGCCCGTCCCGTAATCGCCGCCATATACAAATATATATTACGTCCATCGCTCGTTTACCGCAGGATTGAAATAGAAATTTTATCACGTCCTCTTATTTGTCTACGGGCAAATTAGAAGTCTAAAAGCGTGTCCGAGGGGGTCAACAAAAGAGCGTAATCCCTCCGAGTGGAAGAAAAATAAATGTCGCGGGTGAGACGACGCTCGAGCGGTGTTAAACGCGGCTTTGGACACGCGTGCGAAAATAAATGGAGGGAAACCGCGTCGAATTCGACCGCGGGATCGTTCGTCAGTATAAATTTAGACTTCTCGCAGTGACTCTTCTCCCTGCTCGTTCCGTCGCGATTTTCGCGCGTTCTTCGTTCATCCGTCTTCCATCCATCGGGAAATCCTAATCCTGTGAAACTAAAATTTGCCGTAGAAACTTGTTCGATTGCGAGGCTCGTCGGGGTTACGAGTTAAAATTTTACGAGCTGATTACCGGCCGACGAATTATTTAACAGCCGCGCCGCGCCGGCTCGGCACGGGGAGCTATTATTTGACATTGATTTCGTTAGTAACGCGCGCGTACTCGCGATTCGAATCGTGGGAAAGCGGCTTAATTGGAACGATTATCTACACAATCAAAGAGATAGCGGCCAGCATTTCACGATGCACTTACGTAACGATTAAACCATGGCACGAGGTATACGTACGTCCTAGGCACATCGTTAACGATGAAACTAATGCGGGACGGAGATTGGGTGGCGGTGGTGTTCCGATAGACGTGGATTCTGAGCCACAAGCACCCATATGCGCCTTCCCATTTACGTGCATCGTCTAATAGCTGACTCTTGTCTCGAGGTTCATCGATGCATTATGCTCGTATTAAAACAACCGTAATTGAACTTAATCCCCGCTACCTTGTTAAATCAATTAACCGAATGGATCTCTCCTGATTAGCACCGTAATTGATGACTCGAACCTCTCTTTATTTATGCCGATATCGCGTGTGATAAGCGATTATCACAGTCGAGATCTTTCGTGTTCACACACGTTGTTCCTCGTCTAATTTTAAAACGGTTAGGGTCATCGGGAGGGAAACTGTTTCCTATTAAGTTTCACCAAAATTGAAGAGGTTTCTCTTGAACGGTGCTGATCGAGAGACATACGTCTTCCTTCAGCGACGTGGCGTCGACTTTCGAAAACAAACTAGCCCCGTTCGGCAACCACCCCGCGCATTCGCTAGATATAGACTAATTTCCAGCGTCCCTTCGATAACGTCTCCGGGGAGCAATGAGCACGAGGGCGGCTTCGAACGAAACCGTTTGCCTCCGTAGCCATTCAATTCCGGCCATTTGTTCGAGCAGCCCGCAGAGACGAGCCGCGAAACTTCTAATTCACCCATCTGTCCGTCGATCGACTTCCCACGCTAATCAACTTATTAGGGGATTACGCATGTTTAATCATGTTCACTTATTAGTGATGGGCACCATCGACTGAAAAGTATCGATTTAGTCGATAGTAGCCAACGATACTTTTAGTCGGCTAAATCTCTGATACTATCGACTACATCGAACCAACTTCTGGCGGCTGCTTGAATTATCGATAAACTGCAATCTGTAGCTCGACGGTCCAAATTCAGAGTATAAATAAATACCATGATCGCTGCTTTGGATTATATTTATTCAAGGATCGCGAAATAAAATTTCTGAGATGCATTTCTATTAATTTATTAATCATAATTATGCATTCCTATAATAAATTAGAT